GCTCTTGGGTTATTTTTTGTAATTTTTGGTTCTGAATTTTTCATACAAACAATTTAGCACCTACTACCAGAACGCGTTTCTGGTGGCATTTGTACCAAAGGTTAAAATTATGGAATCTGGATAATGGATAAATCTGGGGAGGAGTAAAAAGGAATTCAAAAGTAGTTAATGGATAGTGTACTGTTCATGTACTTCAAATTTAGCAATACGGTAAATGTCTTGAATTTTCACTGCAAGATTAATGACTTTGCTTCTTGGATAGTGTCGCAGCTTCTTTTGTTAGTTTGTTCAAATGTGTGAAGCCTGGATTACTCAATGTTTCATATCTTTTTCCTTAGTCTTTATTTCTGTGGAACTAATGTTCCATGGAGAGTTTGCTCCAGGAATATTTTCTTAAATGTTGAACTCTTTGTTGCAAGTTATTCTTGTCTGTTATACTAAAATCTATTGTGGTCTATATTTTAATGAATAGTTTAGAAAGCAGGAAACAATATTTTATTCTGTAAGTTAGTTTCTAAGATGGACAAAAAATTAATTTTGATATGGCTTTGTTTGTGCACATTATTCATAGTATGAATTTGTTGCATTATTCCTGTTAATGTTCAGAATGGTTTATTACATTCTACTTCACAAATTTCTCTTCAGAGAACTAGATTTATACTAAAATAAAAAAAAACAACTTAAAATATGGGTTTTTGGCCGAAGGCATCAAATGGATTTACAGAACCTTCTTTTGAGAAATGGTTATTAAGAGTTTGAATATTTCAACAGCAAGCATGAAACAAACAGCTATAGGTTGATCCCTTCCCTTTGGTTCAGCTAAAAAACAGGGTACTGGGCATGTCAAAATTACATACATGACTGTTGTCTAAAGACTGTTACATTACCTTTTATTGGTATGAAGTATGTCACAATAACAAACATATCCCATACTGAAAGTTCCCAATTAAAGTGTTAAAATCATAATTTTAATTTGTGATTTTCCATCTTTACAGAATTTTGGAACTCCTCAATTAATTTTTCTAACGTTTCAAATTTAGAGAGGATGTAGAAGTGTTTGTAGACAATGCGTCATTGTTAAATTTTGATACACAAATTAGTCTTTTAGGTGTTGTTTTCCTGGCTTGATATAGTTTTTGTCCTTTTGGGTATTTTAATGGTTCAAATGAAATTCTTGAATTTTGGAGGATTTTTGTCTAGCTTGTAGATCTTGCCTTGTAATGTAAATAGTTATTTAAATGTGCCTTATGGAGAAGTATTAATTTTCGTTTATAGTCTGGAGTCTCTGCATGCTTCTATTTCATTTAAATTGAGCATGGTCTTTCCATTGATGTTCACACTAATGTTAAAATTTCTAATGTCTTAATTGATTCTAATAACTTGAATTCTTTTCCTTTTTGGTTATGCTGAATAATGGGGTTGTATACATCAGAAAACACTGAAACCTTGGTTGGTTTTGTTCCTCATTATGTACAGTTACATGAACTGCAATTTTTCTTTTAAAAACTTGCAGTTGACTTCAGGAAAAACACTTGCTTTCTACATGATCTACTTAATATGAAAATATGTTAGTCATGTGGGTGTGATTGACCAGGCGTTTGTAAAAGTTTTGACATTGTGGTTCAGTAATGTCAAAAATCAGGATTTGCTTTCTTTAAAGCTTAGTGGGGCAGAATCTCAGTAGTGAGCAATGTTTACCATTTAGATGTCTTATTTATGACCCTATGTGTTCGTGTACATGGGCATGCTGCATTTAATTGGCTCTGAAAGTGTTTGTTGTTAGTTCAAGGGACATTGGTTTTTTCCATTTTTTTTAATGAATTTCAAGAACCATCATATTGGTACTATCTTGCCTGCAGACACATTTCTGTATTTGTTGTTGGGGTTTGAGGTAGTGGCGGCTCATGAATCTTATGTTCACAGTAGGCTGAACAGATTTCACAATGGTAGCAAAGGGGCTGGGAGACATAATATGCCCCTGGTTCTAATAAGTAGTTCATAATTTTACTAAAGTTTTTCTAAAAAAAATGTTACACATGTTGAATAGATCACCTTCCTAAGTGGTATTCTCATTATACCTGTGCAGACATCATTTAAGAAAATACTAACACTGAAAGAATAACCTTTTTCTTTCTGAATTTGCCTTGTCACAGAAGGATCTTTTTAAATTTGTTCTTGCCAGCACAATGTACAACCATACTTGATGTAGGAATAGGTTACAATTGTCCAAAGCATTGGGTATTTGAATTAAGTTGACTAATGGTGTTTCTAGTAGGTAGTTCAACCACATTATCATAGTATTATTTTAAAAATTGTTTTAAATGTAAAGTAACTTACTCATTATTTTAAAAATAAAATGTTGGAATAAATAGTAATAATACTAATAACTTTTCCTCCTTTTATCTGTCAATTATAAACTCTCGTAACATGGTTTTATGATACTAATCAAGGTCTTCTGCAAGGGCATACACTATCAGGATCTCCCTGGTAGGGCATATAAAAGTGCATGTTTAGGATGAACAAGTTTATTCTGGGACCTTTTCTTAGAATTTGGCAAAAGCAAGGGAACATCTGAACCTACTTACCATAGCTTATGTTGAGATGTGCTAGAAAGAGAGGAAATTAAACTGATTTTGCCTCCTAGTGTTAAGAAAAGTTTGAATTGAGAATTAGCTGCTGCGATAATATATTTGTTCTATATTTCCAAATAACTTAAGAGTCCTTTTTCAGTATTTCTTGTGTGTAAAATGTTTTATTTCACTGGGTCGGTATGCCTATCTTGCCTGCCCCATGGAGCCGCCACTAACATAGTGTGGAGAATTGTATGCAATTTTTTAAGATTGCATACAGGATTATATTCCTGATAAATATGGAAAACATTGGTGTCCTTCGTTAAAATACTTACTCATGTTGCTGGTTTTTGTTTTTGTGCAACTGGTGAAGTTAAATTTTTTAAGGGTATATGATTTTTCTTTGAAATCAAATACATGTTCGGCAGTAGTTTGACAATTCTCAGTTTTGTTTTGGCACATTTGACCTGAACTATTGGCAGAAATTCCTTTCCAGTTCTACTTCTATTCTTTATTCAATTTGAGATTTGAATTGTAAGTTATTAAACTGATGACTAATTTCATAAAATGTTGCCATGAAGATAATTTCATGTAACGATGGTTCTTTTTTAATGCAATTATATTACAATATATCATGTCACTTTTTTTTAATCTCTAAAATCCTAAATTTTGTAAAATTAGTTTTTCATGTTGGTCTTTTAGGGAAAAAATTTTCAGGGCTTACTCTGTTTGGACAGTAATAAAAATGTCAAATTGCATAATGCTCTCTTTTGGCTTCCTCTAATGAATATTAGTCCATGAGCAATGTAGTTCAGATATATGGTTGCTTTCAAACTTAAGATTGAAATTTATTGAAGTAACGGACTAACTTCTGTAATAGAAAGTTGAATTTCAATCTCATGGGGCATATGAAAGAACATTTACTGGGTACCTAGAAAATTTTTATTTTGGTAGTGTTAATTTTTTTGCTCGATTTCTAAGTGGCAAAGAGCAACAAGTTGCGTATTGGAGTAGAATGTTAGGAAAGATTTTCAATGAAGGTCAGGGAGAGGTGAGATTAGAATCCATGCCCAAACACGTTCCCCCAATCGGGGTGTGTGTATGGGGTGGGGGTGGGGGGGGATTCCTCTACCGCCTTGAGCTTGAGGGACAAGTGACCCCAAGGTTGAATTTACGCTCTGCTGAAGCCCCTCTTTCTCAGTGTGGTTGTCATGACTAAATAGCATGGGACAGCGTTTAAAACACTTACATATGGATTGATTTCATTAAGAATGTCGCCTCTCTGTGAATTGCAATAAATTCACGTGAATTCCAATTTATAAAGATCCCTCCCCTACATGACTTGGAAAAAGTTCTGTTTCCATCTTGGACGGGTTCTGTTTTTTGCTGTGTAAAGTACCACATAAGCTTCATGGGCCAGAGAAATTTTCCAGTTAAGGCAGTTTTCAGCTTGTAAAAGTTTCGGTTCAGGCAGATTTTACTGTAATAAGTTTTTCATTTATACAACACATTAGTATTGCATATTACTATTCAGTAAAGTACAAATTTCTCTGTAAATTATGATTTCTCCAAATCACGGATACGTAGGTTTAGTTCGGATCTAGTTTTTTTTTTCTTTTGATAAAAATTTATTCACTGAACGGCCAAATTTAATCCATGGAAAAGCTAAAAAGTCAATTATATTGAGATAATGGAAAAATGGATGGCTAATAGATACAAGATTTGTGGATGGTGAATTGTCATAGGAGAGAGAAAAGTTCGGTCAAGCATTTGCTTGTTGTTTTATATTGGTTAAATCTCTACGCATGGCTTCTTCGGCATTGGTTTAAGATGTAATTTAAACTTTCATATGTACCAATCTTTATGGCTCTCAGATTATTAGAAGGATTTGGAGGTAGATGGAGCAAATGTGCCATTGCAATTCCAGTTGGTTGTATTTTGTGTAGGTATTCTGTTTTCTTCATTTCTTTTGTCTACATTTTGGTGTAAGAACTTATCTGATCAAAAGAGATACTTGGAAGATTAAGTTATGACGTGGCTTGAGTTATTATTTTTGTGCTTGATTTTAATTAGCTGTTATAAAAGCATGGAGATTGCTGGAGGCATTGCAAGAGAAGATCTGTTGCATGCCATAGTGTCTCATAATTCATCTATGTACAGTTGGCTGCTTTCATGATGAATGAAATGGTGTTGTGTACCTCTTCCAATATTTGGAAGAGGTGGTTGTCTTGGAAGCAATTCATGTGCTGTATGAGATGTGCCTTTATTTCATTTTTAGCACTGTGTGAATTGTCTAATGTGGATTTTATATTAATACATACTCTCACATGTGGATCATTGTTGCTAGCTATTCTAGTAATGTTCAGTATTTGTAGACAGCTCTAGATATTAAATTCAGTTTATGATCTAATTCTTCTGTTTCCTTTTCAGAATTCGTCACCATGATGACATCAAAGTGAAGCGGGTGATGCCCTAAAGGCAAAATGAAAAAAACTTAAGAAAAATTGAACCTGCATTTCAGCTTTCCACTACTTGAATTGGAAATGAGCATAGCTAAATTGGAGATGAGCTTGAATCAGTTTTATGTATTTAAGTGGTTGTATAAGTGATTTTGAAGGATGCAAGTTTGTGTAAATTTTTGTAAAATAATTCCCTGGTCTGCAGTTTTGTGGTTCCATTGAATAATGTTTTATTATCATTGTAAAAATAGGAGTGGATTTTGTGCTGTCTTAAGATTTTTTTTAAAGGTTCTGTGTGCTCCTTCCATTATTTTTACCTGGTCTTCTGATACCTTTCGGTGAGCTGCAGGCCTGGACTTGCCTGTGCACTTGCATAATGGCAGTTGTTTTCTGTTCTTAATGTAGGTTTACTATCCATAAGTAGATGTGTACACATTTGATTTTTTTTTTTTTTCGTTGTTTTTTCTTTCCTCAAGCAGCAGCTCATTTGTTGTCGCAACCTGATTTAGCTTTGTGGCAAGCAGGATGGACATTTAAAAAAACCAACCTGTAACATTCCTTCAACAACCCACACAAAAAGTTGAAATTTTTTGAGTGTGGTATATCTGCTTAATGCCACATTCATTCAAGGGACTCATTGGTCGGAAATTTTCCGGCTTGGGTGACGTGGCAGATTGCTAAAGGAACTTGTGTAGTGGGTGTGAACAAACCTACTGAATAAATGTATGGACTGTCTTAACATGGGGCAGCCTGGGTCAAAAAGGATCCCTCTACCCCTGAAAAAAAGAGTAAAATTGTGCTACCCACACATAGGACTTCCTCCACAGCCTTGTTTACTGTAATTGGTGACCTAGAATTGCATTGAATATAAAAGACAAAATAAATGTGTTTCTTCATTCATGTTATGTTACTTCAAAACCTCTAAAAATGTTGGTTGATATGCCTGTAACCTATTTTCCTCATAACACTCCTTTAAAATCATATGGCCAGATTAAAAGCAATTTGGGCCTGGAACAGCACTAGAATGTGCCACAGTGGCATTGATATTGAAGAAGTGCTAGAGCTTGATAATGCAGGGCATTTGTGGGTTGATTAATTTAATATTAATTCTCGAGTTCTCACTAACTGGGTAGATACATTCCATGTTCCTCCAAAGGAAATGGAATACTGGAAAAGGGCTTGCACCCAGTAAAAACAATGCAAGAAATTATTCCATAGTAGTAAGTGGCATTTTGATTGCTTTCTTTGAGCACGTCAGTGAGGGAATTTTTTGGTTCCTAAAGGCCATGAGCCACCATTTGGACATAGTGGCCGAACAATTTCCAAGCATTTTAGGAGGGAAAAAAACTTATAGAAATTGTAAAAATGTGGAATTGTGACGAAAGTAAATTTTTAGTCTGAGTACTTTAATTTACTTGTATTTAGAGTTTTTGATCCATTTCTTTAATCTTGTAGAAACATGTTAAATAGCTACAAAGCAAACTTGAACTTGTTTTAAGTCAGTTGTTGGACTTTGAACGTCACAAGAACCACGATAATTCTATGTAAACCATGTTGTGTGCCTCTGAAAAAGATTTCGCATTTCCTTGCTAAACATCTAAAATTTCTGTGAATTGGTGCCATATTGTGAGGCAGGGGCAGCTACCTTAAGAGTTCACACCATTGAATTAACAAATGGAAAACTCTTTAAACAAGTAATTCAAAAACCAATATTTGGTGATGTGATACTTTTAATTGAGAATTTCCTGCAAAAGCAGGATAGTACACAATTGATTAAAAGTGCTTTGAGGGCAAACAGTCTACTAGATTTTGCAACCCCCTGTAATTTAAATAGTGATCATTTATCACCCAAAATTTAATTTTTAAAAGTAATGTTTGTGCTGTGTGACTTTTGAACATAGGTGCATTGGCTTCCAAATCTTGTTCATGTATACCGCTGAGTGGGCAAAAGAACCAGTGAGGTTATTAGAAATTTGTAATAAAGTAATGCAGCTTGACATGAACAGGAAGGAGCAGATGAGGTAGGTTGAGTATAATGCAATGGACAGAGAGTACCGGCTAAGGATCTTGATATTTTTAAAATTAGTATGTTAGTCTTTATATTGAAATTGTGCTTGAGAAAACTTACTACAAACTTAGTCGTAGTGAATAATCAGAAAGTTAATGTAAAGTTAAGCACTCAGCCTGGACTATTATTTGGCAGGAGACGAAAATTAATCACTGTGTAGTAAATGAGTTGGTCACCACCTAGCTGCATCAAAATAAGCCAAATTTACTGTTTTGAATTTTGGTCGGCACGTCATAATGGTAGAGCCAAGTCTCGACATCTGTCACGATGCTGTTAACACACCGCGATTGACCTTTAGAAAACCTTTTTTAGCATTTCCAGGCACCAAGTCACACGTGTCATCTGCTCTTCAGTGTGTGTGGCACCCATGGACAACAAAGTTTCTTCACTTGCAAATGATCATGCAGAATCTAACTAATTGCTAGTGTATTAAGGTTTAAGGTATCCTCTATCTGCTTGTAGGTCACTCGTCAATGTTTTCATCCGTAACTGATGTTCGTGGCCTGCCCGCTCTCTCAGCATCCTCCAAACTGAAATTTCCCTTTAGAATTCTTTGTATCGCCTGAATATTGTAGTTTGATGTGAACATGTCCGAGTGCTAAAGTCATTTCTTCAAAGCATTTCAAACTGCCACTGTCACCGAAGAACTGAAAACGCAGACGCGGCACAGCGGCTACTGTGCAACTCTGAACATTGACCATGTTTCAGTACCCTGTGACAAGCAGCCTCCTGTGGCTTACGGTTTCGCTGTATTGCTAAACTTTCCTTTCAGTTGTGAAACCTTCATCTACTGCTATTCAGTACGGTCGTTTAACAGCCAGACTAGATGCAATAGAAACCATCCTATAAACTGGCGATATATCCAACCAGCAAATGATCAATGCGTTACATGTCGACAATCGGCAGAGTTCCTCGGATATGAAGGTAGTTCACGAGACGAGAAGCGGCGTGATGCTTTTCGCACCCGAAGGCGAAACGGATCTCAGTCACTGACGCGCGCTTCCCGCTGCTGGGGCAACTGATGCATGTAGCGAACCGCGAGTAGGCAGCACGCAGTAACGATGCAGGAAATAAGTGTTTTTTAATACTTCTTTTCATAATAATTGAAAATTTGAATTTTGACTTAATTTGAAGTTACATCTATGTCCCGAAGTAAAACAGCCATATCAGCATTTGCTCAAGAATCAGGGGAACTAGTCGAAAACCTGATCGAGATGGGGGTCATTGGCTCAGAAGCTGAAGTACAATAATTGTTACAGGTACTTCAAAATTATTCCCAGTCCAAATGCTAAATATTACATGTCACTGTTAAAATGAATATTACATTCCTTTTGGATGCTTGTTATAGTCTCTACTTGTATAGAAACAGTTGTGCAGAAGAAAATATTTTTCTTGGGACTTAAACTTTTTTTATCGAATTAAATCGATTAAAGTCATCTGGCAATGTGTCGTAAAATAATGTACATGTATGTAAATTTTTTGTAGTAAGCTGTAGATACTGGCACACGGATTACTAATGCACAAGGATTGTAAAAGCAAACATCAATAAAATTTAGTTTCAAAATTTTAATATTCAAAATCAACATCGCCTAAACTCCATCTGGTTTAGCAATCTCTAACAATAATTTGATTCGAAAATGACAGCGCGCTATTTTACCACTTTTTCAAATTTGTCCGAAAGTTTTTAAGATTAAGTTTTTAAATAAGTAAACATTTTTAAAACTAGCATCAGCTATTTTACTTAGGAAAAGAGAATCACAAAGTGTATTCTATCAAAGAGACGAACGCCATTTTGGGATCAAAAATCGAGTCTTAGGATAAAAGTGCTCGTGTGTAATATCCGCTCATTCTTTCCGGTAGTGGAATGATAACGGAAGATCTTAGAGGTAAAATATATGTAAAATAAGACATGACATAATTAGTTCAATTTTCTTTTTGAAAGCCTGAAACAATTTTATGACGGTATTCGTAACTATATAGTTTTATACTTTTACAGATGATGCGCGACCATTTCTTTTGTCACAGCATCACTAGTTTGATACGTGGGGTAAAATATATTGAGATGCAAAATGTAAAAAAGCATAAACCGACCGCCTGGCTCGCAATTCTGGCCGCCTCTCCCGGGGCTGACCGTGCCGCCACGCAGAAAGAGGGCCCTCAACGGGTGCCAGGGGGAGGGCGCGAGGTGTTTTCTCAAATTTCACTTTACGACGCTCCTATTCATCCGATTTGCATGATTGACATGGCGTTGGATTCAGGAATCATGGAGCAATCATCTATAAACCCATATTTTTTAATTTTTTTCTCGGAAGTTCGAGCAACAATTTCAAATTCGAGTATTTGCCAGATTTTTGGGAAAAGGGCTTCGTAGCGAAAAATTTATTTTAAAAACGGGTCAAATGCCGTTTACAGATCGAAAATCGGACCATTCGTCAGACTTTTTTTGTAAAGTTAATTCCCCTATGACAGTGCTGCGTATTGAATTTTCCTACAAGTATTTTTCGGTGCATTTAGCTTTAAGGAACCCTGGACTTGTATTACTGTTGTAATATCAAAATAGATTTTCTGCAACTTCACACAACTTGCTATACTATGTATACAGGTGTCCTATCAACAACGGGTCACCCCAATAACTTAGGGTCACGTTACTAAAATGCAGGTTTGCTCGACAATGTATTCATAGGGAAAGTGATATGCCATTGAAATATAGTTGTCTAGAAATTTAGTCATTTTTTTCAGCAACTTCTGCCTTTGGGAAGATGGGCTTCGTGGCGCTGATGTTGAGGGTGGGTGTCGATGACTTATAGAAATCATTGGTCTTCCAAAAATAAGTATCAATATTAATGAAGATTTTGATGACAGAATGAAAGATTTTTCAACATTGATTCATCAGAATTGAACCTTTTATCTGCAGGTTCAAATTCCAGAGAATTGATTCATTGCGCCACTAACCGTAGCAGTGTGAAGCCAAGCCGGCCCTTGCATGCTAGATTGTGGATGTGGGTACTCAAAACATCAGTGTACATTTATTTTCAGGTTTCTTTTCTGTTTTGATCTACATCTCATTTTATTTTTGTAAACTTAACAGTGAGAACTTGAGTAACTGTACATAATAAATTTCTACCTAGTGTATAAAATCTGATGAATGAGATAGATGGTGAAAATCAACTACTCATTCCTTTTTCATGTATTTGAACTGTTTTAAAATTTTGGCTTGTTCTTACAACAACTGGTCATTGAATTCTGTTTTTGTTAATTCTGAAAATTGACTTTGTTAGTATCATCACACTACCAATTACTTTATATTGTTAATTTTAATGATCGATACTTTTGAATTTGAATCAGTGAAAGAAACGTTTAATTCTGATGAATCAATGGAACTCATTCTGATTGTCAATATTGCGGAAATTGGGCCTTACGCTCATTGCCACCCATCCGTCCCATCTCCGAAAGGTTCGATGCCTCGAAGGCGACAGTTGCGAAGCCTGTATGAAATTTTGTCGGTTCAATTAAAAATTTCGGTATAATTTCAAAGTCAAACTACTATCAAAACCTTAACACTTTATGATCTATCCGTTGCTAGTGAAAATATATTTCCATTTAAAAAATGGATGATTACTTTTTTTCTCGGAAATTGAATGCATTTCGAACAATATCTACAGCATATTACCTGTCCAATGATGATATCGTAAACCGTTTAAAAGTTGTTGGAGTGAACCGTGGTTGGTGTAACTTCGTATAAACGTTCATATACGAAAAAATAAAAATGAGTCCTTCGTTAAGCTCATGGTACAACCAGTAATAGTTGTGTAAAAGTAATATGATGACAGAAATCATGTTTCCCCCGGAAATAAAGCCATGAGCAATCAGATTTGCATGTGGGCCACTAGATGTTAAGCGGAGTGTGATTTGCGATGTTACAGGAAAAGGGCTATCGAATAATGTTGCACTATTGTAGAAGGGGGATAGGAAAAATGCATAAACCGCCCAGCATCTGGAGATAATCTGTAGAGATGCCTGCTATTTATAGAAATAGATGTCCTTCACCGTCACGGTGGGAAAAGTGTCTCAAATAACGGGTTATAATCTGGAACTGAAGTTGTAGCCATAAGCAACTACTTTCGGGGATCACTTTTCCATAAGACTTTTTATTAGGAAATAAATCTTACTACCAGCATACAACTTTTTTCATTAAACCTTTATTAATGAATGTTCTAGTAAACAAATACAACTTACTGCAAAGAGAATGCTATTTATAATTATTTTTAATGATAGAGGGATCTGTTCACCCACAATGGTTGAGCCATAAACAGTGTTGCCAGTAGGGTTTAGAGCCTGTTCTTTAAATGTATAGGAAATCCTAAATTATCAGGTAAAAAGAGAAAAAAAATCTGAGATTAAATATATTTAATTTATAAAATGAT